AGATTCATCACCAAATAAAATATTTCTTTGTTCGACAACCGAGCTTAAGATTTATCAACTTTCTTCCTCTAGTAATGAGGTGTTGTCATTCGTTTTAGGATGTGGATGTGCTTGTTTTCCTCACGCGATGAGATCTATTGGTCACGCGTTCGCTCATGAAACATTTTGGAGATTACGCTCCGCTGTGATTGATTGATTTATCCGTTCTACTGACTCATTCGGGGTTCGCTTTTTTAATCGATGGAAAAGCTGTTAGCAGTTCGAAACTGTGATCAATTGGATTTGATTATCAACCTTTTATTCGTGTGAAGCTTACTTAAGATGTCTCAAGAGGTCTGTTTGATTGCTTATTTTAAGACGTATTTTTTGTACATGTTTTCAGTCCACCAAAGCTGTGTATAATCGCATTCTGGATCTGCGGATAGCAACTCCGCAGATTATCATAAACTTTGCTACGTTTCTGGAAGAACATCGCTACTTTGAAGAAGCTTTCAAGGTCAGTAAAACTCAACAGATTGGTTACATTTCTTTGCTGTGTCGTGCAAAGAGGTAAAAGAACTTAAACCGAACAAACAACTGTTATGAGAAGGCAGAACGGCTATCTAGCTAATAAGTTATGCAGTCATCTATTTTGAATCGGTGTTAACAATAAATTCTTACTCCTGGAGAGTAAGTTATTCTCTCAAATGTTTAATATAGGATCTATGAGTAGCTGTAGGAAGCTTTCTTGTAGGGGTAAGTTGTTACGCTGATTGATGATTTAGCGTATTCGTAATCCTTCAAGGTTCTCGGCCTTATCAAGCTTTAGTTTAGTGTTTTATTAAAGCAGTATTATAATCGAAGTACAAGTATCTGGTGAATAATATTTGTGTAAATTTTGTGTTGTTAGGTCTATGAGCGTGGAGTGTCAATGTTCAAGTGGCCCAATGTGTTTGATATCTGGAATACCTACCTAACAAAGTTTATTCAAAGATATGTAAGTTTCGTACCTTCAATCGGTTTATTCTGTTATTTTACGCTCCTTTGGGTTACTTTTCGTTGCCAAACTATTTTCAAGACCAGGCATATTAATTGACTTGAGTAATCGATCGATCCACCGTTTGATTTGATGAGTTGATTAGGTTTGGCTCAATTTATTTTCCATTTGCTCTCTACTCGTTTTTTCAATATGTTTTGGTTTGTTGATTACTTGTTAACTGTTGCTCATTCATGTATTAATTTTTTTTGTCATTTTTCCAAGGGTGGCGCAAAACTCGAGCGTGCACGAGACCTCTTTGAGCAAGTCCTGGAGGGCTGTCCTGCCAAATTCGCTAAATGTAAGGCTAACAGAATTTATATCGTATTCCATTCCTTTTTAATTCTCTTTTAACGTTACCCACAAATCTCTACGTTATGAACATTTCCTTTGCAGCTTTCTATTTACTGTACGCTAAACTCGAAGAGGATCATGGTCTTGCCCGTCACGCTATGTCGATCTACGAGAGATCTACGAAAGCAGTGTTGCCGGAGGAGCAATTTGAGGTAGCACTAAAGAAGATGACTATTTTTTGTAATTAGAGTTGAAATTTTGAAGAAAACCGGGTATTGTTTTCATCACAAATCGAGGTTTAGTACACTGATTTAGTTTGTTTAATTTTAGTTTTTCGTTTTTTATGATAAGTGTTACTCCCAAATCATGTATCTATATAGAAGTCAGCTATTTCAAAACGTCATTACCCCGATTACTTAGGTTGCATCGGTTGAAAACAATAGAGTACTTGCAGCTTAGACCATTTCTTTTTGTACCACTACGATAATTTTTTTTTATGATGAATATTTACTCGAAGCTGCCAAACTTTTGCGATACAAACAACTTTTCAATTTTTTTAATGTTTTGTCATTGTAGATGTTCAACTTGTATATCAAGCAAGCTGCGGAGATTTTCGGTGTCACCCACACGCGTGAAATCTACGAGAAAGCCATTGAAGTGCTACCCGACGAACAAGCAAGGTAGAATTAATTTTTTCAGATTTCACCTCAGCACATGATTTCCCTTGGAACCTTTAAAGACGCATCGACAAAGATGTAAAGTCACTCAAGTTTTTAGAGTCATATGTAAAACGCAAGCCATGGTTGACTTCTTAAATTTGTGTTGTCTCCATTTGTCACTTTGTTCAAATTTTAGTAATCTTGTGAAAACACTGTTGTTTGTTTATGTGATGTGTTTCAGATTAATACCCATTTTTGTTCATTCTACATTTCTTTTGTTTGCCAAGTCAAGTTAACGTTGAGGTTTTGTTTAGGAACCTATTAGATTGCCTAGTATGTGCGTAGGACTTGTGCGGAGTCCAGCGTATTCCCATTGAAGCGAGTGATCTAGAACCCCTTCTTAACCTTTTAGTTGATTTTGGCTTTTAAATTTTTCAGGGAGATGTGTATCAGATTTGCTGACCTTGAGCGCAAACTGGGAGAAATTGACCGAGCCAGAGCTATTTACATGCACTCTTCGCAAATGGCTGATCCAAGGGTTTGTTCTTGTTTTGTTTTATTGCTTTTTTTTTTCTAATCAAAGTTAAGAGTCAAAGAAGGATTTTCGTTTGTTTCCAGACCACTCCAACTTTCTGGAAAGTGTGGCATGACTTCGAGGTCCGACATGGAAACGAGGATACGTTCCGAGAAATGTTACGTATCAAGAGGAGCGTGCAGGCTCAGTTTAACACGCAGGTCAGTAGATTATCTTGAATGCCGTCATCCTTACTGTGTCGATGAATCCTTTTCCGAACAGGCGCTCTGTTAGAATGATTCCTAGACGATCTGAAATCGCTCACACGGAACTCAGTCGCATAACAACCAGTTGGGAAATGAGATATTTCTTAAGCCTCTCGGTGGATGACTACTCCGATAACAACTGCTTAAAATTATCTTTACAGGTCAATTTCATGTCTGCACAAATGTTGGCAGCGGCTGCTAGCAAATCTGCAGGAGCAGGTATGTTGTTTACTCGGATGTGAAGCGAGGCGCTCAATTTTCAATTTTAGTAACCACTCTTCTTGGATTTCTGGACCAGGTGTTACTTCTTGTCATTGTTCCAAGAGTTTTTCTCGGTATTCTTACGTTTTCTTCCCTAAATTTGTTTTGTTTTGTTTTGTTTTGTTTTTTTTTTTCACCTAATGAACTAGGAACTGAAGAGCCTGTGTCCGATGACATGCAGCTACTAGAACAGCAGGCTCTTGCTGTGGCAGCAGCTAAGGCTAAGACAGACGTAGCCGCCAAGTTGAAGGAGAAAGTCTTGTTTGTCAGGTGAGTGTGGGACTCTGTTTGATAGTGAAAAACTTATACTTGCAATGCCAGCCTAGCGATTTAGCTTCCATAAAGTTGACTCACTGTCCTTCTTTTTCTATGTCTTTCAGGGGTGAAACAAGTCAGGGTGATAATGAAAATAATGAACCAGTTACTAACCCCGAAGAGATCGACATTGATGATGATGATGATGATGATGATGACGACGAAGCTGAGAAGGAAGATGAAGAGGGTAAAGATGTTTCTATGACTTAATTATTGGGGTACTTCCTCATGAGGCTCCTCTAGTAAGAGGACAACTTCATTCGAAAGACCCGAACTTTGATCCAGATTATAAAAAAACTCCTATCACCTTTTTAATTGTGGCCCTCATCGAAGGGACCTCTCTATATTCGGAAACACTTTTTTTACTCCGAATATTGCCCCCATCATAGGAGTTCCACCGTTTATTGCACTCGTAATAGTGTCTTGACGGTAGACGAGATAAGAGCTATGACTCGTTCAGATTCTCATGAGAATTTTGTGAATTTCTTTTACTGGCTGAACAGTCAAGTTTACCTCACGCCATACGAGCTCAATATCCTGTTAACGCTAAAAAGAGGCATCCAGGCTTTTCAATTTAAAACACTTTTTTTAGGAACGCCGACTGGATAGTTTTACGAAAAATAGATTTTTTAGTCGTGGTATGTCGAACTTGTAGGATGGATGCCAGCTTGCAAAGATCTTGGTCTGCAGGCCATGGATTCACTTGCATAGCAGCATTTTTTGTGAGCACCTTGAGGTACATTGCTGTGGAGCCGCGAAAAAATTGCGGCGAAGTTGCAGAAAGAAGGGCGCGGAAAACTACACTGAAGAGACTCAGCGCAGAAATATCAAATAAGTACTAGAAAGTCATTTCTTAAGTCTTTATCCGCGAAACTAATCACAACGTAATGACTGTTGCCTTTGCAGAAATTCAAGTCGAAGAGCAGTTGGTTCCGAGCAAGGTTGGTTCTTACAGAAGATTTATTTTCTGTAAACCCTCAGGTTGAAATTAGCTCAATCTGTTTGGTTATTATCTCCTTCAAAAGCGGACAACATTTCCGAAAGAACTTTGTTTTATGTCAAAATGTATCACCTTAAACTGATCAGTAAGTCTTTTCTCTTAATCATTGTTTGTTGGGATAAAAAATGAGTTTCGATCACCGCCAGAGCTTAAGTGACCGAATGAAATGGTAAAACTTAATTCGTATAACATGATTTCGTTATTATTAACCACCATTGTCAGCCATAATAACCCTAACCTAGTCAAACGTACCAACTCACTATTCTCCCATAAAATATTTCATTCATTAGTTAATTTTTTAACATTTTTTCATACCTTAGTACCACGCACAGCGTTGTCTTTTGTCTGTTTTTCAGGTTGTGTCTTCTGTTTTACAATGAAAATCCCAAATAGATTGATATGAGTCTTGTCTTATGACCCTTTGCATTAAAAGGCTTTTTTTGTTGCAGGTGTTTGGCGGATTAAAACGCGATGACGACTGAGGTGATTGAAGAGACGCTGGATTTGACAACAACGAGAGCGTGGTGAATTTTCACCAGCCTTTATTCCAACCCACATGTACTCCATAGCTGTAAACCTTAAAAAACACACATTTTCTCATTCTAGAGTTTTACTTCTCAAACAGGAAATAAAATTCAGCTTTATACAAAATATTCTCTACAGTGTTGCTGGTGAGTGATTTCCGCGATTACGCATTGTTTGGAGTTTTTAAGCAAGCTTTGCGTGTTTAAGCAATATAGGTGCGCCAGATTCCAAGTCAGGAATGGTGCCTTCCAAAACTTCTATGTTAACTTTCACATTCGGGTTAAATGTGACAGAAGTTTTTCTCCGCTCTCTTCTACGAAGAATAACCTCGCGAGAAGCGTCTCGAAAATTTTTGTTATAAAATGCGTAGATAACAGGGTTATACACAGATGCTGACAGACCGACCCAAAATGTAATTAATTCTGCTCTGGAAATAGTATCGTATCGCTTTTCTACGAGGATAGAATATTTTGATACGACTGAAAATGGAGCCCAGCTTACAAAGAACGCACAAACAACCAAACCCAAGCTCTTGATCACATTTCGTCGCTTTCGGCTCTTGATGGTGTTTCTCTTCCATACTGTTTTTAAAATGTTGTAATAGAGAAGCACGATTGCCAAAAGAGGAAAAAGAAATGCCAAAATTCCTCTTATTGTTAAATAAGTTGAACCAAGTTTGGGAAATGAGGAAGTTTCCTTTATGCCACAGAACTTGTAAACTTCATTATTAAGTGTAATGGGACGAGAATTTATCAAATACAGCACTGGCATTGCTATGAATATTGCAGACGCCCAGCAGAATATTGCGAGGAATTTGACTTTCGTTCGGTATAAAAACTTAAGCGGGTAACAGATCAAAAGGAATCTATCGACTGCTGTGGCAGTTAGGATGTTAACAGATGCAGGTGGAAGAAGGTACTGTAGGAAACGGACCATTTTGCAGGGAATATCGCTTTGAAGCAGAAGTAGTGGTCTCGGACACGTGGAGACCAAAGTCAGAGGTATTGAAATCGATGAGACCAGGATGTCTGCAATAGCAAGCTGTGCCATGAAGAAATACATCGAAGATTTTGTGTAGCGACTCTGATGTATGACATAACAAACGAAACCGTTCCCTGTTACGCCAAGCAGACACAGAACACAACCGACGATAATTTCAAAGATCACTTCTTCAGAACTTCTTACAACCAATGGGTATCCGCTTGTCAAAGGACTCGACGTGGAATTTTCATTGGTAGAGTTCATTTTTAATCGCAACTTCTCGCTTTTCCCTTGCCACCAGTAGTGCAAATGTTCCCTCTGTTTCGTGTGACCTTAGCCTGCAGTTGATAATTCTTTTGTTGCTGCGACAGTGCATGGTTCCCCGGAGATTTGATATATCATGCAGACACGTTCCGTAAAGGCGTGAAAAAGAGAAGTGTAAATGCGTCGATAATCATTCCAGAAGGATTATTTCTTTTTTAACAATGAAAACTTTATGGTCTTAATTACGGCTTATTGTTTGGGCTCTCGCTCTGTCATAATTAATTGACCACGAAACCAATAACACAAAACTTTGCATTATACCAAATTGAATTTCACAAAAAAAAAACTTTTTTCGGAGGTATTAGGGATAAAAAATATTGCAAAAGAAAATTTTTGCATGCGCAAGAACCTCAAACAGTTTTTTTCTTTAATCAATTTCTATAAGTTAAGAATAGCCGATATTTAACAATTATTCCACGAGCGCGCGTTGGATATGAGATGATAGATAGCCAACGAGGCGCGTAGCGCCAAGTTGGCTATAATCATCTCATATCCAACAAGCGTGAGTGGAAT